GAGAATTGAAGGATGTATAAAGAACAAAAGGACAGCGGCGGGTCTGTTGTCCGAGAATTGAAGGATGTATAAAGAACAAAAGGACAGCGGCGGGACTGTTGTCCGAGAATTGAATGATATATAAAGACAAAAGGACAGCGGCGGGACTGTTGTCCGAGAATTGAATGATGTATTAAAGATAAAACAAAAGGACAGCGGCGGGTCTGTTGTTCGAGAATTGAATGATGTATAAAGACAAAAGGACAGCGGCGGGACTGTTGTCCATAAAATGCATGATGTATCAAAGATAAAGAACAAAAGGACAGCGGCGGGTCTGTTGTCCGAGAATTCAATGATGTATAAAGACAAAAGGAAAGTGGCGGGACTGTTTTCCATAAAATGAATGATGTATAAAAGATGGTCTGTTGTCCGAGAATTGAATGATGTATAAAGCAGCGGGACTGTTGTCCGAGAATTAAATAATGTATATAAAGACGAAAGTACAGTGGCGGGACTGCTGTCCGTGAAATGAATGATGTATCTAGGATAAAAGCAAAAGGACAACGGCGGGACTGCTGTGAATTAGTTGAATTTATGTATTAGAAAAGAAGACAATAACGGGACTGTGGTCCAATTAACTGTATACCGAGTTCCTTTTAAAAAGCGGTATGACAATTGCTCGAATATTTTCTAATGGAAATATGCATTAATGATGGTCGGAATTCAAGGACAATATCAGGGATGTATCAGTGTAAAAAGAAGGAAAATGGTGGAAGTGTTGTCGATCATTTGATTTGATAGATAGATAGATTTGATAGATAAAGTGTAACGGTAGAAAAACAACAGTGCGGGAAAGTTTTCCAATTAGGGTTTGTTTTACTATGAAGAAAACAACCGTTGCACAAAGATGGAGATCGGAGGAAAAATGTCTACTTTAACCGCGACTCTGATGCCACCACCAAAGGGAACAGTTACTCCAGAGGTGCGCTGAAAAATCTCTTTTGTTCTTTTCCTTACGTCCCTTCCTGTCATTAAAGATCCAGTTTTTAATGTGAACAGTTACACGTTAATTCTTCAGCCTTTGTAAAACTTTATAATTCATCCGACTACAAACGTCAATGTCTTCTGTTCCACCAGGTCATCTCAGTACGAGCGAAAGTCTATACGCCATCTTTGTAAAGTCCCCAATGCAAATACTGTTTCCAGTCATCGTCGTAGAAATGCCGATATACTTAAATGACAATGTTAATTTCAATCCAGTCGTGTTCAATGCATAATGTCGCGACTTTCAAAGGGTTCCCACGAACCCCTTGTAACAAAATAATTGGCAAAGCCTGTCGGTTCGCTTAATCTTCGACAAACAATTCAAATTGAGACGAAAATGCAATACAATTATCGTCGATAAGCCGTAAAATTGGTCGGTACTCTCGTCACTCAGTGAAGTGACAGGGTTGAAGTACAACCCTGTCACTTCAAATTGTCAAAATGAAAAGATTAAAACGACGTTATTCGCAACTACCGAAGAGAATCTCTTTCGTTTTGGTCGATAAAAAGGAATTTATGAAAGACGTTATCCACGTTGAATTCAATTATCGTCGAAAACTGCGTCATCTTCGAAATATTCGGTATCATTTCATTGTCTTCTCTTTAAGCGAATGGTGAAAATTTTAATCAAAGTACATAAAAATAAAGTGAAAACGACGTTATTCGCAACCATCGAAACGAATCCCTGCCTGTTGTTCTGCACTTTTTCGTTAAGTGAAACGGTCTGGTTGAAAGCAGGTTGTTTCCACCTGGTCATTTTCAATGTAATGACCGCACGTACCTTGTCGTCTTCGAAAAGCAAAACGATATTCGCAGCTACTGAACCAATAGTCTTTCGTCTTGATCGATAAAATGCTTATGAAAGACGTTTTTCGTCTTCGAATTATCGTCGAAAAACGGCACGTTTAAGTGAAATCACCAGATTGAAAGCATGTTGTTTCTACCTGGCCATTCTCATTACGAGCACACATACCAATTTATAAAGAACTGAGCGCAAGAGGGTTAATTGCAAATACCAAAAGACCCTTTTTCGTCATTCTCGATAAAAATTATTTAAGTGGTTTTGCTATTATCGTCGATAAAATGACAAGGTCGGAGCACATGGTTTCCCCCGTCATTCTCAATACAAAAAGTGCATATTATTTGCCATCGGTAAAAACTCTGAAAAATGTATTGCATTGCGTCATCTGTGACAATGGTGAACAATGTGGTATCGTTGTACTCTCTCTTCAACTGAATGATAAAAATTGTAATTAAAATACATATAAATATAAATAAAATGACAACCACGCTCTTTGGAACTGCGGAAAAGCCCTTAAAATGAAATTGATCGAAGTGCTGTTGCATTTTCGAAATTGATTAGTTGAATTAAATTACGGTTGGAGGCGTTTGCTTCGATCGAGTCACGATTTCATATACCGCGTGGCTTTCCGGGAATGCCTAAATGAGTCTTGCCAATTTATCAAATCATCACGAAAAAAAATCAAATGGAAATAACTGTTTTGTACTTGCCGTCGGTAAAATATTTGTGATCTGTCTTCGACTAAAGTTACGACACGTACGAAACGTTCTGAAACTACGCCATCTCAATTCATCGAGAACCGACATATGCAATAAAAATTATGCCGAGCACTTGCTGGCACAAAATCCGATAGAAAAATCGCATTATATTCTTATATCGTCGCAAAACGTTTAAGCAATATATCCTCGAAAAAATGCTCTAATCTGAAGAGAAAATTCCGATGAAAACGTTTTCATCAGATATTTTTGTGTATTTTAATTTGCTGTCGCGTGTAAGGTTATGTAAAGTTGCTGTTTAAGAGCCCTGAACGTCAGTCCGACCAGGAAAGATCGGCTATTTAGTTTTTTCTGGAAAGTAACGTTTTAGTCTCCGTGTAAGACAGAAAGTTTGATCTGCATTTCGGTTGTTTATTGAAATGACGAAGTTGAAGCCCATCATTTCCAACGGTCGCAGTATCTTGTCATTGTCATAGAAATTGGTGAAAATTGTAAGTAACAATACGTATATACGACGCTATTCGGTACTGCGGAAAGGCCCTCTTTTCTTCTCTGTAAAAAGAAACTTATCGATGTGCTTTTGCATCTTCGAAATCGATTGGTTGAATTAAATTACGATTTAAGGCGTTCGTTTCCATCGGCTCACTTTACAACGATTTCGTATACCGCGTCTGTCTTCGAATGAAGTTACGACACGTAGAAAACGATTCTGAAATTACGCTATCTTCAGTGAGGACCGACATATACTATGAAAATTATGTCGAGCGCTTGCTGGCACAAAATCCGATTGAAATATTGCATTACACTTTGATATAGTCGCAAAACTTTCAAAGCATTATATCCTCGAAAGAATGCTGTAATCTGCACAGAAATACTGATGAAAACACAAGTCCGACCTGGAAAGATTGGCTATTTTTTTTTCAGCAAAGTAACGTTTTAGTCTCCGTGAATTTACAATCAGTCGATTGACGCATATATGAAATCGATTGAATTCTATTCTCGTCAATAAACGGAAAGGTCGTTCTGCACAGTCGTCGTTTTTTAATTGAAGTGACGAAGTTGAAGCCCATCATTTCCAACATCGTCACAAATATCTGCAGATAGGGTATTACACTACGCCATCTTTGAAAAATGTGGTATTTTTGCATTTTCTCTCCAACTGAATGATAACAATAAAATTAAAATACATATAAATATGAATTAAATGAAAACAACGCTATTCGGAACTGCGGAGAGGCCGTGTTTCTTCTCTTTCGTAAAAAAAAGAAATTAATCGACGTGCTTCTGCTTCTTCGAAATCGATTGGTTGAATTAAATTACGGTTGGAGACGTTCGTATCGATCGGGTCACTTTCAATAAAACGATTTCATATACCGCGTATTTTTCTGAAAATGCCTAAATGAGTCTTTCCAATTTATTAAATCATCGGAAAAATAAAATGGAAATAATTGTTTCGTACTCGCCGTCCGTGACGCGATTGCGGTCTGCCTTCGAATGAAGTTACGACAAGTACGAAACGATTCTAAAACTACGCTATCTTCAGTGAGGACCGACATATCCCATAAAATTATGTCGAGCGCTTGCCGGCACAAAACCCGATGAAAAAATCGCATTACACTCTGATATCGTCACAAAACATTCAAAGCATTATATCCTCGAAAAATATGCTGTAATCTGCACAGAAATTCTGATGGAAACATTTTTATCAGATATTGTGTAATTTAATTTGCTGTCACGTATAAGGTTGTGTTCTTTGTAAAAGTGCCGTGTAAGAGCCCTGAACGTAAGTCCGACCTGGAAAGGTTGGCTATTTAGTTTTATTTTTTTCAGCTAAGTAACGTTTACGTCGATCGATTGTCGCATGCATGAAATCCATTGAATTCCATTCTCGTCTAGAAACGAATGGTCGTTCTGCACTGTAGTCGTTAATTGAAATAACGAGGTTGAAGCCCATAACTGCCAACGATTGCAGTAACTTGTCATCGTCTCAAAAATCTCCAAAGAGAGTATTGCACTGCGTCATCTTAAAAAAAATCGTATCGTAGCATCTTCTTTATTTCAAATGAATAATAAAATTGTGATTAAAAATACATATAAATATAGATAAAACGAAAACACGCTATTTGGAACAGCGGAAAGGCCCTCTTTCTTCTCGGTAGATAAAAAGAAATTGATCGAAGTGCTTTTGCATCTTCGAAATCGATTAGTTGAATTAAATTACGGTTGGAGGCTTTCGTTTCCACAAGGTGGACTGTCAATAGAACGTTTACATATACCGCGTGGTCTGCTTTATACTCGTTTTCATCAGATATATATTGTTGTGGATTATTAATTGTTGTTACATATAAGCTTATGTTATGTATAACTGCTGAATAGCGGCCCTGAATGTAAGTCCGACCTAGCCCCCGCAAAGATGGGCTATTTAGTTTCCTTTTTTAGCAAAGTTACGTCTTAGTTATTGTGAATTTACGATCAGTCGATGGCAGCATAGCATTTTTATCAAATATTCTTGTAAGATTATAAATTGTTGCCACCTATTAGATTGTATCTAATATACTACTGCTGTCCTGGACCTAAGTCCAACATAGCCTGCAAAGATCAGCGACCTTATATTTAAGTTTTTCAACACACTGTGATTTTACAATTAGTCGAGTGACACGACATTTTTCTTATGCTTGCAGATTATAATTTATTGTTGCGTTAAAATTGTTTCCCATGTAAAACAGCCCTGAACGAAAGTCTGACCTGCAAAGATCGGCAAATTATTGTCAATTTTTCCTACAAAATAACGCTTTAGCCACTGTCGATTGTCGCCTGACCTTTTTTCCGACGATATTCTTGTTGATTAAACATTGTTTTCACGTGTAAGGTTGTATCTCATGTAAATCTGATGTGAAAAACAGTAAACATACGTCTGACGCGCAAAGATCGGCAATTTATTGCTTTCTTGCAGCAAAGTAACGCTTTAGTTATCGTGAGTTTACGATCAGTCTGTTGTCGCCTGACATTTTTCATCAAGTGTTCCTGCGTCTTATTGTTTCCATGTAAACTGCGTATAACAGCCTTAGACTAACTTGGACTTGCAAAGATTGGCAAATTGGCGTTTTGTATTTTTGTCCTGAAAAGCAACCTTTAGCTACCGTGATTTTACTACAAGTCGATTGACTGTGACATTTTCGTCACAAATTAAAAATGTGGGTTTGTATTTATCACATGTAGGGTTGTGAACCATGTCAAACTGCCGTAAATATGCCAGTCCTGATCGTAAGTCCGACCTGCGAGGATCGGCCCATTAGGGTTTTGTTGTCTGGTTACAGTCAGGTTTCACGATTGGTCGATTGATAACATGACATTTTCTATCAGATATTTTTAGAGACTTGAAAATTTTTGTAACGTTTAAGGTCGTATCCTATACGCATAACTACTGTATGTGCAACTGCCCTGATCGTAAGTCCGACATGCAAAGATCGGCAAATTAGGGATTTGTTGGGGTTGTTTTTTGTTTTGTTTTCTTTTTATGAAGGTTTTAAGCAAAGTAATGCTTTGGCGACAGTGAGTTTTGTAATCAGCCGATTGATGCGTGACATTTTCTATCAGATATTTTGATGGATTTGAATTTGTTGTCACCTGTAGGTTGTATCCTGCTGTATGTACAACAGCCCTGATCGTAAGACCGACCTGCGAAGATCGGCAAATTAGGGTTTTAAGTTGTTGGGGTTGTTTTTGGTTGTGCTTTTTCTAAACTTCTTGAGCAAAGTAACGTTTTCGTGAGTTTACAATAAGTTGAGTTATGTATGACATTTTCTATCGGATATATTGATGGATTTGAATTTGCTACCATGTGTATACATGTAACAAGGTTGTATTCCATGTTTAACTGCTACATGATAGCCATGATCGTAAGTCCGACCTTCGAATCGGCATATTCGTTTTTTTTCAGCAGTTGAATGTAAAGCTTTATTTAGTATGAGTTAACGATGAGTCAGTCGTCGCAAGAAATTTTCATGAAATATTCTTTTGGATTTCAATTTGGGTTTGTAAGGAAGTACTGCATGTCGCTCAGCATGTCCATCTCCGAAATTGCGAGTGGCACCACCAACTGTAGTTCCCGTCACTTGTGCGTACACCGTTCATCCATCTGAATACTAGCCTTTGTCATAATTGTCTCGTGTTGTGGATTGATGTTGTGGACGCTATCAACACTGCGCTGCTGCGTTTTAAAACGTCGCACAGCTCAATAAAACAACAACGCTTGGGAAGTAGAACGTATACTGCCTGAAAATTCTGAATTCTATCGTTTAAGAAGATAACCAGGACGTAATCCTATTTTTTGTAGTATTCATTCAACAATGGTTAGGCTTAGTGTGGTTTACTAGTAAACGAAGGTAGAAAGGTGTACTAGTGGAAAGTGCAGAAATCAGTTAGGCTTACATGACTAGGTAGGATTAACCTCGTGGTAATCTAACTGACTTGTTCTGGTGATAACTGAGATTTATGTATACTAAATTCAGCCTGCCTTGGCGAGAGTTTGTCTTTTCATCTCAACAGTGAGTACCGTACCAGGCAAGCACCTAAATTGTACCCATGTGTCTTGCAGAGGGAAGAGAGACGGCCTTCGAGTTGGATTTCTGGAACGGCGATGACCGATTAGCAAGGAGATCTAGATGAAGACATCCTAGGCAACTTTGGTAATAAATCTAAAAAATTACAACATTGGAAAAATTTCAATTCGCTCACTTCTCTCTAGTCTTCCCGTTTCCCAAAATGCAGAGCTTTGCAGGCAGCCCCGAGATGGTTTTTTTCTACACAAGCGACACCTGGATTACTGGCCTAGGAGAAGTCGTCGACTTGCTGAATACCAAGCAATCCATGGTCGTTGGCTGGATGCACTCTCCACCAATTTGTTTCCTCCAAGTCCATCCAAGTAGGCTTGAGCTGTACTGCAAAAATGTGACATTTGCCCCAAACTGTATCTCCTTTTTTTTCACTGGGTTGGAAGAGAAGTCCACATATTGAGAAAAGATTTCTTTTGTGAAATTTGATGTAATGAGCCTGTGCACTGTAAAAGTGTAGGGCTTTTTAAAAAAACATTCTGAAGTGATATCTACCTCCCAAAGATGTCCAACTGTTTGATAAATCTTTTGGGAAATCTTTAAAAAAGTATACTAATATTGACCAACATCTGGATAATTTGTGCATGAAGCCCGGGAATTTTTGCGGGGGCCCTGTTTTTGTTTTGTTTTTTCTTTATCACATCTCGACAGCCAGGCGACTACATCAGGTTAGAACTACCTGTCCACCCAGTACAGAGACAGCTCTCAAGACCGACCTTTTGGAAGACGATGAACGATTGGAACCAGAAGGAACAGTGGCTTCTGTCACACCCTACTTGACTTGCATGCCTATTGGACTTCTCAATGTAAGTTTTTCGAAACCAAACTTGAGAAACCTTTCATTTTGAAAAAAAGAAAAGTCCCACTTTTTACAGGCTCTCTAAAAATCCTTGCTTCCAGTATCCGTGAAATTATTTACTAACTCCAAATGCATGCCTCTCGTATTTCTTTCCGTTTCCAGAATGCAAAGCTTGCCAGGTGGCTTCGAAATGGATTACCACTCCAGGTGGATATGGATCATCGGACTAGCACCAGAATCGCCTTACTGCTCACTACACAGCGCACAGCTGTCGGACACTCTCTCCACTGCATCTTTCCTGTCGGCCTATCAAGGTTGGCATTTTCTGTGGTGCCCTTGTCATAAAGGGGATTTGGACAAGAATTTACCAGCAAAATTAGCTCATTATGCCCAGGCCCCTCCACACATTGTCCTACAGGGGATGTGGACATATGGTCATATCAAAGCTACACGTGCGTGTAGGTGTATATGCATCTCAGTTTTTCAGAAAGTAAAAAAAAGGAAAACCTCCGAGTCTTTGCGGTCCTGTACCCAAGTCGCCCCCACGTGCGCTACTGGGTGTTCATTCTGTACATGAACTGCCTCTCTTCTGTGACTTGCAGAGTGTTCGAATATGCCAACCCTAATATTGGCTTCTTGAGTCCCGCCGAGTGCTGCTTTCAAGACACGCCTGTTTGCCGTCTTTAACTCCATTTACCTTCTGGTGAATAGCACCCTCAGCGCCTTCAGCATGGCTATTGAAGCCGGCTCTATCATTTCGTGTTCAGCTTTTAACCCATCCATATGTAATATCTTAATACTCTAACGTCTTTTTGCGAAAAAACGAAATGGCACAGTGGCTCCAAATCGACATGGTATGGTAAACACTTCAACCTGTTGGGCACTATATAAAAAACCCAAGTTCGTCACTTTAGGCTATGTTATGTTGATCTGTAACAATAAACCGAAACTTTTGTCCATTTTTGTCATTTGAACAGGTTCCTGAAGACACCAGCAGTAGACCGTCGAACATCGGGAGCTGCTCCTATTCACCCTGCTCAGCTTGTTTCTCATTTACTCATCATTCAAAAGAGTGAATGTTCGCTAGCCTCCCTGGGAACGCTCACTCTCACTGAAACTAGGGACAAGACAGTGGGGTGAAATGTCTTCAGGGGCGGATGGGGAGGTGGGGGTGTGTGGGGGTCCACCCCCTTTTTTCACCAATAAATAAATTAATAAAAGGAAGAAAAAGAGGGAGGGAGAAGAAAAAGGAGGGATCATACTGCCTGAAATTGCACCACAGAGCGCCCAGAATCCAAAACGGCTCTGGACCCCATGCTGTCCAGGCATTTTATCATAACTGCTTTAGTTCACACCCCCCTTTGGAAAATCTGGTATCACGCCCCCTAGATAGATAGATTAAGATTATGTACTCAAGTTTCCCCGGGAATGGCTCTTTATAGAACTATTTTCACCCCTAACTTGGATTATTTCACTCTGAATAGTCTTATCCTTGGTTTCAGTCTTTTAAAGTCCGAAAGTGAATGGTTCGGCGGTCAAACATTTATACGCACACATTCCGATTATTTTTGTTTTACTGAGATTTCTACCTTTACTAATAAATACATACACTATCAAATGAATGAAAACAATCAAGCATGAGGAAAAACTGTAAGTAATATCAAAAACGAATGATTGTCAAAATGAGTGTTAATATATTATTGAAATTTTAGCCAAAGTGTCTGTGTAAACGTTCGACCAAAACTTGATCCATGCACTTTCATTCTTTAGGTTTAAAAACAATTCCTGCTTATGAAAAAAGATATCCGAAACTATTGCTCGTCAAAGTTTATTTACTTAAGCCTACTTTTGAAGCCCTGGAAGAGACTGGATGGAATTATTCATTTTAATTGCTGTTATTTTGTGAGCTGGAAATATTTCGTTCCAAAGAATCCACGAATGGATTTTTATTTGCAAGTAATGACAAAGTAAATAAAAGTCCATCCAGTCCTTTCTTGGGCCTTATTAATGTGTAAACAGTTATTTTGCATAAATCGAAGCCACAGAAGCGTACAATACTGAATTGGTTTATTCGATTCACAATGTTACTGCAACGTCACAAAAGCCATGAATAGACCGTTTAAATGTGTTCATTATTTGTAATATCTCCTTCAAGATGATTTCAAATGGTTTATTTTCATTGATAAGTATTCTGTTCCAAATTTCATCTGAAATTGGGGATCAATGTTTACTTGTTAACATTCTGACTTCCTTAAATACTAAATCTGCAAGAAAGTATGGATTCCATTACAGAAAACTAACCTCTGTTTACCTACATTGCATACCAGCTGCATGCGGGCTGGTATGCAAATGATAATAATTTGATTCGAGCCCATGCTGCAGGAGGCCAAACGCCGCAAGAATGAATGTTTAGTTGAACGACGGAGATCCAACTTGTGACAAGTTGGACCTCCTGCGGGTCCCTTCCCTCCCGGATTATTATCCAACAGTGCTGCTCTGCAAATGTAGGTACTCGGAGGCGAGTTGTTTTCTGTAATGGAATTCTCCAAATCCAAGGGGATTTTCCATACTAGCAAGAAAACGCTTCTCTATTAACATCCCTCCCAGAAAGAAAAAAAAAACAACAAACAGGCGAGTCTTGGTGCTACACAGCCTTTTGTATGGGGACATGTAGTGGGCGCGAAGGGTGTGTCTCGGGCGACTTTTTCAACGAGGTTTCCTGTGCATGCGCGCTGATATGCAAATGTCGGTAAACAGAGGTGTGTATTCTTACTAGAATGGAAAATCTCCTTGAATTTTGGGAAAACTGACAGTGGCGTTGATGTAGATCCTCAGTATGTCGGGCAATTGCTTAAACGCAAGTATTGGAAAGAAGTGATCTGGAATGGTCCGTCTCTAGTCTAGTGCTGTTTCTCTCCTGTGTGGTGTTACAGTGTCACGTTTCGTTAGAATAGAGACCAAGTATTTCTCGGTTGGAAGCACCATAAAGAAATCTGGACCTGCATCTCCTAAATGAAGGGGCCCAAAATGTAATGTTCTAAAAGGCATTAGTCAAAAATATGAACAAACTTTCACAAATTAATGCTAGATGTGTATTGAAATATAAAAGTACGTGAAAAACGGTTTGATTTCCAAGACAAACTAAGACTTAAGAAGTTAAAGAAATAAGCATTGAAGAATTAAAATGCTGAATGGCGAGTGAACTTCCGGTTTTTTATTCAGTTCCTATCTATGGTCATGTGTTTCTTTTTGTAAGTTGAAGAAAGGAGATAAACGTGATCGAATTACAAAAGAAGTGAATCAATAATAGCGGCGTATTTCTGGAGTAAGTTGTCATAATTATGAAACCGTTTGAAACTTCAACAATACAATTTTAATTACGTATGCTAGCTCACGTTTGAAAGGTCTTCTTTAATTTCATGACGTAGAATTATTAGCAAAGAAATCCAACTAATTCCGTCTAAATTTATGTAATTCTACCACATTGTGTACAGAAAATGGGGCAAAATGGGGAAATTGAAGAACTAAATTGAAATTGGTGAGGCAAAATAAGCAGCTTGTCATCTGAAACCAAGATTGGGGAGTCGAAATGAGATCGAATACTCCAGTGACGTCTTCGCACATCTGCAGCACTGCTATCTCACTGGAAAAGGGGGTTCCAACAGACCGGAAAGTGTCGTCGACCAAACCCAGTTATTGGTCTTATTCAAAAGTGGGCCATTGAATTGAAAGCGGTGTTAATTTGTAATTATAATTAAACGGTTCAAGTCACATTAAAAAAAAATGCAAGTGATCAATGGAGTCCCAAACAGTCTGACACCGCCCCATTTAACAGATTACGGTGAATAAGATTCCCGGAACATGACAACGTTTTCCCCCTGAACATAAGGTGTATTGGCTCTCGTCATGTGCTATGACTATGAAAGCATTCTCAATCATCCCTGAAAGTTACATTTGTGAATCTGCTGAGGGTTGGGGAGAAAGAGGACGATCACTCGATAGCGTGGCTCTTAAGAAAAGACTATATAGGCCTAAGAGTGTGTCTTCGGACCATGTCACTTTCATTCGATCTAAACGACGCTTTGCTTCAGTTTGAAACTAATTCATGGCCTAAATCCTTCGGGACGGGTTACTGACCATCTCACACGTTTTCGTGGTGATGAAAAAAAGGGTGGACTGTGAAGAATCATGAACTGTATCATCAGAATCATCTGTATCACTTACATCGCCCCTTGTGTCAAATGGTGTCAGCACCCCCCCCTGCTCTTTTAGAATTCCCATGGGCGGGCATGTCATAGAGTCTATGCGGAAACGCAGCCTCAGAAGGCAAGAGTTTTGTATCATTGGAATAGGCTCAAGTAAACCTTTTGTGTAGTCGTTGTAACTGAATTGAAATAACAAAAACGGCCTCTGATACACCATCAACGCATCTGAAACAAGATATCCCCTAGTTTCTTTATAACCTCTATTCCTCCACAATCCCCTAGTTTCCCTATAACCTTCTATTCCTCCACAATCCCCTAGTTTCCCTATAACCTTCTATTCCTCCACAATCCCCTAGTTTCCCTATAAACTCTATTCTTCCA